GTTACGAGCACAGCATTTTCAAGAACATTCAAGGTATGGTAGTTCTTTTAAATCAGAATGAATGAAGCAGAAAATATTGATAATCTAATCTGCATGGGGAGGAGCCAATAAAAGATCTGACTGAGCTCAGTTCTAGATTTTTTATGGATCTTTGGGGAAGTATAATGTTTAAATATGGTATTGTGTATATTTTATTCAAACATTTTTTTAATTCAGAAAGAAAAAAAAAGAATCTCAGCTAGTTTGTATTTGTTATTTATATTTTATTTGTTGTAAAGAAAGTTTTGAGAACTAGTATTAGGAATAAATATGGGCAGTTAAAAATATATGTGTATATGTATCTGATATGGCTATAAGATGCAAGAGGGAGTTAACTCCAGGTTGAGATAGTTATTTGTAAGCCCTAAGGATTTTGCTTGGGTTCCTCATAACCCAGGTAAAAGGTAAATAAAACTAAGACCTCAGTGACACTAATGCTTCTCAGTGATAGGCTGCATTAGCATAAAGTAGAATCTTCCTTATAAGGTACACCATGCTATTGATAATATTGTGTTACCTCAATTCCTTTTCCTTCCCTTTTGCTTTCCACAAGAGGAAGAACAAAGATTTAAAAAGAGATGAAGGTAACAAAGTATCTCTGAAAAGCACAAACCAGAAACGCACATTACCTCTGAGAAGGTAAATCAAAGAGAAAGGAAATTTAACTTAGTCTTATCTTAATGGCTGATACGGTTTGCTCTGATTGTCAAGAGGAAGTACAAAAAGCTTAGTATGTAATCTTTCTTAAAGTTATGATTTGGTAGGGACAGATGAGAGAGTATAGAATATCAGTGATGACTAGGAAGAAAAGGAAAATGGTCAATAGAGCCACGAATCTAGTTGTTTTCTATGGTCGTACTGTCCAGTGTGGTAGCCACTAGCCACATGTAGCTATTAAAATCAAACTTAAGAACCAGTTTCTCAGTCATACTACCCACATTTCAAATGTTCAGTAGCCACATTTGATTAGCAGCTTTGCACTGGGCAACACAAAGGAACATTTCATCATGGCAGCTCTGTTTTCATCAAGTTCTGTTGGACAGTGCTATTCTAGAGGGGAGGGGTGTGCAAACCTGAATTTCATACCTTTCATTACCTTTTATTATTGTTTTGACAGATGCAGTATTTATTCCTTAATTCCCTTATCTTTAGTTAATATTTGTACCTCTGTTATTTCAGAAATCCTAAGTGTAGTTAAAAATGAACCGATTTTATTATTTAAGAAATGTATGCAAGTGGGTAAGAATCTGCAGTGTGTTTAAAAGTGTGAAGAGTAAAAATTACCTGTAAAACCCCACAATTCTTCAATAATTACTTTTAACATTTGATGTCTTCCCTTCAAAGTGTACATATATATATGTATTTGTATATGTATATGTAGCACATATACTTTGCATAATTGTTTTCATACTGGGAATCTAGTTTGAATTATGCTTGTCAAAACTTAATATTGTGTCATGAATATTACTTAAATTTATTAGGAGGTTTTTGGAAACATTTTAATGTTATTTTTAATCATAGAGAATTTTAAGCATGCAAAACAGGGTATTATAAGGCTCATATACTTATTACTCAGCTTCCACAATCACCAAAAATTGTTTCGTCTTTACCTCTCCCTACACCCCACTTGTGTTTTCTTTTTTCTTCTTTTTCAATACTAGGGCTTGAACTCAGGGTCTTGTGCTTGTTAGGCAAGCACTCTGCCATGTGAGCCACTATTCCAGCCCTTTTTGCTTTGTTTCTGTTTTTGTTTGTTTTTTGCTTTGGTTATTTTTGAGATAGGGTCTCACTTTATGCCTAGTAGGCATGGACTGTGATCCTCCTATTTGTGCTTTCCCACGTAGCTGGGATGATAGGTATGTACCACGACATCCAGCCTCTGGTTGAGATGGGGCCTCTTGAACTGACTGCCCATGATCCTCCCTATCTCTACCTCTCCATTAGCAAGGTTTATAGGCTTGAGCCACTTTAACTGGCCCCCACTTGCTAAGTTTTTAAAGAAAAAATTTTATGTACACAATAGATAAATATCATTTACAGTTTTAACAAATGGATGCCGTTGTGTTACTCTTAACCCTGTACACAGACATTGAATATTTCCATCATTCCAGAAAGTGCAACCCCTTCGTTTTTGGTGCTACTTTCAGAGTACTTTGTTGAAACGATCTCCCTCTGTGTTTATCTTCTGCATAATTTCTTTTTGAGGTGATGGTGGTGGTGATACTGGGGTTTGAACTCAGGGCCTCGTACTTGCTAGGCAGGTGTTCTACCATTTAAACCATGCTCCCAACCCTTTTTGCTATAGGGTCTCACTGTTTCAAATAGGGTCTCACTTTTATGCCCATGCTGGCCTGTATGACCTATTTGTATTTCCTGTGGAGCTGAGATGACAGGCACATGCCACCATGCCCAGCTTCTATTGGTTGAGATGAAGTCTAACTTTTTGCCTAGGCTGGCCTGGAACCAGGCCAATCTCCACCTCCTAAGGAGCTGGAATTACAAGTAGAGCCACTGCACCTGGCCAGTTTTCTATATAATTCCTACCTAAAGTTGTAAATTTGATACTGCATTAATAATTTTAAATATCTTCTTTGTGATTAAGAACTTATTTTAGAGGTTGGAAATATGTTAATGAAATATGTAGATCAAAAGTTCAGTTATGTAGATAATTGTGCATGTATATATATATATTCCTGTACTAAAACCAATTATCCATTTTTGGTAGTTTATTTTCTATTGAATTTACCACTTATTTAGTAGCCCAGATTATTGTAAAATTGGTACTACCTATAACAGCAGACACTTTTAATACTTAGCAAAATATATTGTCTTCTGGACAAAGCATGACCTTGTTTAGTGGAAGTGAATCTTGTTATTTTTGCTTGTTGGCCAAAGAGGGCCCTGATGCCTGCAATATCCGAGCTGTTGTTTGGTATTTGAATCCTCACACTTTGGCTTCTGAGGTTGTTTTCATAATTGGCTTAGGAATGGAGTCTAAGAGTCACCCTCCAGGTATGGCTCCATAATGCTGTCCTGAGTGTGTTAATGTAATGTTTTTGCTTCCAAACCAGTAGCCCACAGCCCTTCCTTTGTGTTGTTTGTTTTGGCTGCTGATCTTATTTTCCAAATTTCTCTGTGAGTTTTACTCTTTCATCCCTTATGACTTGGAAAAAGACATTAATGTGTACTCACAGTATTTAGATAGCAAAATGATAATTGAGCATTTTAGGAAAAAAGAAAAATTAGTGTCAGAAACAGTAGCAATTTTTCTTAGGCTGAGTATAAAAGAAAATTTGGTGAACATAATTTCTTACATAAATGAATGCTGACTTACTACAGGATTATTCTTCTTTACAAGCATTCTTTAACACTTTGGGGCTAAGGGTATAACTCAGTGGTAGGGTGTGTGCTTTGCATGCGTGAGGCCTGGTTCCATTCCCAACGCCAAAACAAGGATAAAATTAGAAACGTTCTCATTGTCACTGAATGATCCTTAAAAGCCCTACTAAACAATTACTTCATATTATTTCAAGCTAAATTATTTTGTTGGCATTGTAGTTTGGTATAATAATTTGTTTCAGTAACTTATGATAAGTTTACAGAGAAAATTTTAAAAAGTAACATTTTAGTCCCTTTCAGGTATCTTGGTGGGACTGGGGTTTGAAATCAGGGCCTCACACATGCAAGGCAGGTGCTCTACCGCTTGAGCCACTCTACCAACCCACCTTTCAATTACCTTTAATTTGTTTTTTCTTAAAATTCCTTTTTCCCACTTTCTTTAGATCCACATGTCTTTCATGGATCAGGATTCCCTTCTCTTAAGCTCAAGCCCATCTCTCACTTCAGACTTTTCAAATACTAGTGAAAGTGCCATTCTCTCTTCACAAAACTATTTTACTTCCTCCTTTTTCCATTGTTTTTTTCTTTTGTTAGGTTTTGTTGTAGCTTTGCAAATTGTCCTCCATCTGTTCTTATGTTACTCGGCCTTCCTAATTCCACAATTATTATCTTTCTGCTGAGCTACTCAACTTCCTTTTATAATGATGACTGTTTCTAGGCCAATTTCTTAGTAGTGAAATGGCTGGTGACCACATCTCTCTTCCCTAGTGGATGGCATGGTTTACATGTTTTAAGTAGGAAGGAGGGGGGCATGGTGCAAGACAATCCTCAAAAGCTGAGCCATGCTGCAATGGCATGGACAGTCCAACCTATTTTCACACATTAAATCTATTTCAAGATGTTTGAAAGTAAATGTTGACTCTCTGGATTTTAAGAAAGTATTTTTATTGCAGACATCTAGTAAGTTCATTAAATTTTGTTAGCCTGTTTTGCTTGCTTTTGTATCTTTCTTTACCCTTTCCATCATTCCCCAGAGGATGCATTCAGAATCCTAAACATTTATTTTGTAAGTCAATGATTAGAAAAATTAGTTAAAATTTAAAATTTAAAATTTAATTTAATTAGTTAAAAATTAAATTAAAATTTAACTCTTTAATCCATTTGGAATTCATTCATGATTATTGATTAATAAAGAGAACTAATGATATTTATATGTATTTTTAATTATAGTAAAATTTACAATCCTAACCATTTCTAGTGTATGGGTCAGTGGTGTTAACTATTCTCATATTGTTGTGCAGTAGCTCTTTAGAACCTTTTTATCTTGCAAAATTTGAACTCTATCCATTGAACAACCTTCTCTCCACTGCCCTTGGTAACTACTATTCTACTTCCGGTTTCCATAATTTTATAGCAATTCTTCCTAAACATTAAAAATCCAATGTAATAACTTTTCTCTTGGCTTGTAGTAGGGGCAATTATATAACCTTCTAAATCACTTGGGAAGCTTCTGAGTGTAGGCAACAGAAGTCCTGGTTTGGACAGTTGCAGTTATCATGTCTTCTGAATAAGAACAGGAGGTTCAGAGGATGCAGAGGAGGTGGCTCAGGGTGCTCGTGTACTCAGGCTGCTGCTCTGGGGTTCTCTTGACTTTGGTGTTGTCTGGGCCTGTGCCTCATCAGGATGCTGATCGCAGGAGAGCTGCAGACTTTCCAGGAGCCATATCCAGATAAGATCAGGTTGTGAGGATTGTCTCTGTTCCTAGAAAGTAAAGAAGCCTTTACTAAAAGTTATCCAGCTACCTACTTCTCAGTTCTCATTCCTAAACCAGTCACTGCAAAGGAATTGGAATATCATGATTGCCTTGCACTAATTTTTTTGGTGTGAAATACATGCTGACTAATTAACTAAAGAACCAATACAGCTTCTATTCATGATAACTCTGTGTCTTCCTTTCTGTGAGTCATAATGTTTATCTACTGACTAGAACTGGCTAAAGCTTCTGATATATATTGTTGCATGAAAGCACAGACGTTTGTATCAGAGACATAAATTGTTCTTTGGTATTGCTAATCCTGATCTTAGGATAAATTATTAACCCATCTTGATCTCAGTTTCCTCATCAGTAATGTGGAGATAATAATAGATTGTAAAGAGTTACTGTTAAAATACAATTAGATGGAAAATACTTAGCTCAGTGCCCTTTAAATTTTAGCTGCCCCCCCACCAATTTTCTCTCTCTCTCTTTTTTTTTTAATTCCTAATGACAAAGATTTTATTTGAAGGGCTGTGACAATTGATAGATACTGATTTCACTCCTGACTAACTGGAATGCCTTGACTGGAGCGAGCTTTCTCTCACTCCCTTGTTCTCCCTGACCTAACTGGGGGTGATGGGAGATGCAGAAAGGACAAACGATAGAAGACAGGCATGCATAAAGTTGGGATCAGGTGTGCTAGGTGCTCAGATGGAGATGCACAACAGCCTCGTTGCTTTTTTTACTTCTCTTAGTGTTTATTCTTTAAGGCCTTGCTTCTAAAGTCTCTTCTTTTCTATTCTTTAAAGTCTCTTTCCTAGAAGAGCTTGGGGTGAGGTCTTCCGGGTACTGAATGAAAATAACTTAAACCCTAGAATACTCTACCCAGGAAAACTATCATTCAAAATAGATGGAGCAATAAAAGTCTTCCATGATAAGCAGAAACTAAAACAATATGTGACCACAAAGCCACCCCTCTAAAAGATTCTTCAAGGGATCTGCACACAGAAAGTGAAAACCAACAGTAACCATTGGAAGAGGGAGATAGTACCAAACCACAGGAGAAAAAAAGGCAAGAAAGTAGAGAGTAACATCAATTTAGCTACACACAATCAAACCCTCAAACAACTAAGACAACTAAATGACAGGAATCACCACATACCTATCAGTACTAAACCACTTAAATGGTTAATGGACTTAATTCCTTCCATCAAAAGGCACGTTTGACAACCTGGATAAAGAGGAAGATCTACAATTTGTTGCTTACAGAGACCCATCTCATCGATAGAAATAAGCATAGCTTTAGGATTGAAAAGGCTGAAGAAGATTTACAAGCCAATGGGCCTTCCGAAAACAGGCAGTAGTAGGCAATACTTGTGTCTGACAAAGTAGACTTCAAACCTACATGATCAACGAAGGATAAAGAAGGAACATTCCATTACTAATATAAAATGGAAATAGACCAAAAAGGAATAACAGTTATCAACCTATATGCACCCAATGGCAACACACCCAATTTCATCAAATATACCCTGAAGGACCTAAAAGCATATATTAACTCCAACATACTGGTCGTGGGAGACTTTAACCACCCCACTATCATCAATAGATAGCTCATTCCAAAAAAAAAAAAAAATCAATAAAGAAATCCTAGATCTAAAATATACCATAGATCAAATGGACCTAGTTGATGTCTACAGAACATTTCATCCAACATCTACACAATATATATTCTTCTCAGCAGCCCAAAATAGATCCAAAATAGATCCAGTCCTTCTCCAAAATAGATCATATCCTAGGGCACAAAGCAAGCCTCAGCAAATACAAGAAAATAGAAATTATGCCATGCATTCTATCTGATCACAATGCAATAAAACTAGAACTCAACAACAAAAATAAAGACAAAAATCATGCAAACAGCTGGAAACTGAATAACTCATTGCTTTTTTTTTTGTTTATTTATTTACATGTGCATACATTGTTTGGGTCATTTCTCATCCCTGCCCCCCCTTCCACACCCTTCCCCCACTTCAGTTTCAGGCAGGTCCTATTCTGTTCTTATCACTGATTTTGTTGAAGAAAGGACATATGCATAATAAGAAAGACAAAGCGTTTTTGCTAGTTGAGTTTTAAGGATCAGCTATTTACAGAGAGATTTTCTTCAAACAGTTGCTTTCATGTACCCATTGTGTTTACGGACCTATTGTTTGATTTACCCTAAAACTTGATCTTTACCTAGGTTCCGGATCCCTGATCATGATAACCTGGCGTTTTAAGTTTCTGTGTTAGATCCTCTGGAGTGGGGACATCAAACTCTTTCTGTTATGGGTTTTCTACCTATTTACCATATTCTCCCGTATGTGCTTCCCCTTGTCATGTGATCAAGTCCAACAGCATTGCTGCATTTGCCCCTAGATCTAAAGTCCATATATGAGGGAGAAACATACAATTTTTGGTCTTCTTGCCTTTGGGCTGACCTCGCTCAGAATTGATGGTTCTCCAATTCCATCCATTTTACCAAAAATGATAAGAATGGCTCAGGGGTAGAGTGCCTGCTAGCAGGACTCCAAAGTCCTGAGTTCAAACCAAGTAGTCCCAAAAAAAAAAGAAACTCAATCTGCTCTTAAACTCATTGCTTACATGAAACAGTGTGTCATTGATGTGAAATAAAAGAGTATGGAATTTTAAAAGGTTCCTTGGAAGTCAATTGAAAAATGAAAACCAACAACCTACCAGAACCTATGGGGACACAACAAAGGCAGTCCTGAGAGGAAGTTATATAGCCATGAGTTGCATATATTAAAAAGACTGGAAAAGCATCTCCAATCAATGACCTAATTGATACATCTCAAAACTCCTAGAAAAAACAAGAACAGGCAAATCCTGAACAAAGAAGAAGGAGAGAAATAATAAAAAACAAGAGCTGAAATTCCATATGAAATAGAAACCCCCCCCAAAAAAAAACCATACAAGATTAATGAAACAAAAAGTTGCGTTCTTGAAAAAATAAACAAGATCAATAGACCCTGGCAAACCTGACTAAAAAATTGAGTGAGAGAAAAAAACCCCAAATCAGTAAATCAGGAAGCAAAAGGGGAGATAACAACAAACACCATGGAAAATCCAGGAAAGCATAGAACTACGTCGAGAACCTATATTCAGATAAATTTGAAAAATCTTAAAGAAATGGGACAGATTTCTAGATACTATGATCATCCAAAAACTGAACCAAGAGGACATTAATCACCTAAGTAGATCTGTAACACAAAATGAAATTTAAGCAGCCAATCAAGAGTCTCCCCAAAAAGAAAAAGTCCAGGACCTGATGGGATTCTCTACTGAATTCCATCAGACTTTAAAGAAGAACTAATACCAACCCTCCCTTAAACTGTTCCATGAAATAGAAAGGGAAGGAAAACTGGACTAACACATTTAAATGAAAGCCAATGTATACTTACCCAAAACACCAGGCAAAGACACCTCCAAAAAGGAGAATTATTAGGCCAATTCTCCTGAATGAACATTGATGCAAAATTCTCAATAAAAATAATGGCAAACTGGAATTCAACAACACATCAAAAAGATCCACTAAACCATGACCAGTTAGTCTTTATCCCAGGAAAACACCAGGGGTGGGTTTCAACATATGAAAAATCAATAAAATGTTTTAATAAAGGCACATTAACAGAAGCAAAGACAAAAACCACTTGATCAGCTCAATAGATGCAGAAAAAGCCTTTGATAAGATCCAACACCATTTCATGATAAAAACTCTAAGAAGATGGGCTGCGGATGAGGAAGACCTTGCAGAGCAACAGCCCCATTGCAGTGCTGGCTGTGACCGGGAAGGAGGAAGGCCCTCAGCACCCGGTTACTGGCTCTGGTGGTTTTATTCTTTATCGTTGGTGGTATTATAGGGAAGATTGCCTGTATAGAAGGCAGCATGCAAAAGGATGGCAATCGGATGGATGAATCACATATCATGTGATTTAAATTTATCATAACCATGTGTGAAAAGAAATTAATGTATGATGACATCCCACAGGTCTTGCCTTTAAATTACCCCTCCCCAGGCGCACACACACAAATGCACACACAAATATAAAATAACAATCTTTTAGAAAGTTAAAAATGTATAGTGAGAGATCGGGGAAAAGACTGAGCTCTGCTAAGAATGAGGGAATCCATGATCGGTGCCACAGCATATGTAGCTCATTGTAACTTGGTAGGCTTTGGTACATGTCGCTGCATTACTTCTCAAAGCAAGGACACTCTTCCTCGGCCTATAGGTTGCTGCCTGTGGGAACATGAGCCCAGCATCCTGGGGCAGGCAACTGCCTTCCATGGTACCCCCATGGCCCACTCTGCTCAGGTGGCCTTCCCATATCTGCAGTTCTGTCCAAGCCATCGATTCTTTCGGGACTGAGGCTGAAGTGGGGCTGAAGCCGCCAAAGCCTTGCACTGTGCAGCATTGTGTGGCTCAGCAGTTGTGAAAAGAGGCAACATTCGTCATCTGCATCCATCCACTGGGAATACAAGTCAGTGCTTTGTTCTCTTAAAAGGACCAAGCTTAAACGTACTGTTGGTTCATGTATGAAGCCAAGCTGTTATTCAGGTATGTGTTAATGCATATTTAACTTATTTAATGTGTTTCATCTCATGTGTTCTTATGTCACAAGATACAGTTAATGCTGCAGCCTAAAAGTCACGTGTGTTACAGGAAGAATACCAGTGAGCAGGACTGGGCCACTGCTGCTGGCACTGGCTGCTCCCCTGTGTTTCCTGAGGTCTCAGTGTTGGGGAGCAATTTACCTGAATGTTCAGAGGAATAGCTGCCTTTCTGTTTCAAGGCAGTACAACTGTTGTAGGGAGGGAAATTCTAGTAGTAAACAGTCCAAACTCTGGGTTACCCATTTTATGGAGAAGAGTAGCCAGTTTTCGTACATTGTTCTTTCACACTCTACAGCCCCATATTATTTCCCACGCACACAGGTTGCATGTCTGT